AAGTATAAGAAGGATTAAACTATCTAAAAATAGCTAAATATTACTCTTTATTTAAACAAGTCTAGCGCCATTCTATCGGTCTGTTTTTATCTAACTGTTTGTGTCGTCCTTTTACTGTGTCTCTGCTGGCTCCAGTAGATATAGTTCTCTCCATCCACATTCTTGTTGGTTCTGGGACAGAGGAATAATAATTCAGAACCTGCTGATATTTGAATCTTACTACTTGGCATATGTTTTGTAACATATGCCAAGTAGTAAGATTCAAATATCAGCAGGTTCTGAATTATTATTCCTCTGTCCCAGAACCAACAAGAATGTGGATGGAGAGAACTATATCTANGGATTGCGCTGCTCAGAATGCTCCGTCCTCAGGAAGAACAAGTGACCCAGGTGTTCATAGCCCACCGTGTCCTTCACCTGCAGGAAAGAAATAGAGCAAAGATAAATTTAAAAGTGAGAAAGAAACCAAAGGAGATTAAGAGCTGAGTTCTTGAATTGAGCTCAACTATATTCCTTTGAATGAGAAGAGGTCTCCATCCACAAGGAGTGCATACACAAAAATTGAAGTAGCATACACCTTGGTAACACAAGAGGACAAAAACACATTTTGAGTCCATCCTTGTATTGCGCGTCAACGGCCACCCGTACAAATAAACAGGCTCCGTGATACTTCAAATTTCCTCAATATTTTTCTAGAACAATTTTGTGTTGTCACACAGATGAAGACACACAATAAAGAAATGTTACATGGTCACTGTGCAGAAGAAACGAATGGAAATAGCGATCAAACAATGTTGACGCCCAAAGCTGTCATATTCCATTTGCCTGTGATGGCACACAGGAAGATCTGTTTCAATACTGTGGCTTCAGGGCCGTATGGCCATGTGTTGTTACTGTTCTCTCCATAGCTGTGGTGTTTTATACACTCACACAAAATGTGGCATGGCCAGTTGACAGTATACTTTACGTTGTTGTTTCATAATTTCACTTAATCCTTCCGGTATAACAGTGGAAGGTTTTTTGTCCTCGATCGGGTATTTTTCACATTTTTCGGATCGTTGCAATCTAACGTGTGGGTTAGTGGTTTTGCTGTTGGTCGTGAAATTGCTCCTGCTGACTTGAGCCAGCCATTTTTTCCTCCGCTCTGTGTCAGTGGGGAAGCCGTACATTCGTACTCCTTTCTCGGAGCGATTTGAGCATCCCCAGGCAGCACAGCAAACCATGGTGGCGACTAGGAGGCAGCACAGCAAACCAGGACAACACGGAGGAAAAGGCACAGACAAACTGCATGATATGCTATTCAATGTTTATTGAATTCCATGTATTTGCAATGGATGTTCCTAAAACAACACATTTAACATCATCATCATGCTGCTGCTGCTGCAGTCCTTTGATAGTCACCTGTCGGTCTCCTGTCCTTTCTGAAAGCCATAAAGATGACATTAGTCATTTAGATAACTTGTGTCCTCAATTACCATGGGATTACTGAAACTACCATGAATTTAAGAAAATGGTAGAAATTAATCTAATCTGAATTTTGAAGCATTCCTTTAGATCCCCTCCCTCTAAATATATCAATAAACATTAGAAAGTGATGCTCCTGACTACCATACAAGTTTAAGAAGATAATATTGGTTTTAAATAATTCCAAGCTATAAACAGCAACAGGCTCTTTAACCAAGGCACTGTTAGCCTAACATGTAAACTAGTTGTTCACACTAATCCTAATATTATCACTTAATATTAGCAAATTCTATTTTATTTAAAAAAAAATATTGATGTAAATACATACACATATCGATTTGTTGTATAAATATTGCAAATCAAAACCTTTATTCACTAATAATTACCAAAAATCGTAGTTCTATCTCCTGTTATCAATGCATTCAAATTGCCTACCATGAACTTCCGGGGAACGATCCTCGTCTGCATGAACCACGTGACGATAACCGTTTTTTGACTTCCGCTGTCGTAACTCTTCTATCTATATGGCGCTGGATAGGTAGAAGCAGTATTGCCAGGTGCAATCGATGGGATTTCTGCACACGATCCAAGCAGAGAATGACGTACCTTACAGGACAGACACACTCAGGAAATCATTCACTCTGACATCATCATGACTTTAGTTGTTTTTGAATCATAATGAAATTGTATTACATAACGTTAGTGTGTTTTTACCACAAACAGGAATAGTTAATTGTTATATTAGATTTGAGAAAGATTACAAGGATTTTATTTAGTTCACCATGAAGATGTTTTTTGTTTTGTAACATATGCCAAGTAGTAAGATTCAAGTATCAGCAGGTTCTGAATTATTATTCCTCTGTCCCACAACCAACAAGAATGTGGATGGGGAGAACTATATCTACTGGAGCCAGCAGAGATTTGTAAATTGCACCAGAGACACAGTAAAAGGATGACACAAACAGTTAGATAAAAACAGACCGATAGAATGGCGCTAGACTTGTTTAAATAAAGAGTAATATTTAGCTATTTTTGGATAGTTTAATCCTTCTTATACTTTGTAAAAGAACAAGTGCCTTTACACCAGATACAGTATGAAGATGATTTATGATGTGAAAGGAGGGAGTTAGACGTTTTCCATACCAAGCTAATTGCTGCTATTTTGCAAAGTGACATTAAAGGTTTAAGCTAGAAGTTATGCACAAATGAAAAACTTCATATTTATGATGAATATGTATTCTTATTTGTATTTTTTACTTTTATGAGTTATGTACCATGCAATGTTCGGATGAAGAACTCTTTGATTTCAATATTATTTACATACCTTAAATGGTATGTAAGGAGGGATTGTTAGAAATTAAAATCAATGTTGATATGGCGTAATTTGAATTAAATACACTATTTGATTTAAATCAGTTTTATTCTGAAAAACCGGAAGTTCTCACTATTAGCTTAACACTTTTATTCTGAAAATTCGTCACTTCCGGTTAGCATTTAGCATCTGGCGGAATCATACGATTTCAAACCTTGAACCAAGGTGAAATGACATGTGATGTTGTACACTGAGCACACTGGGATTAGCACTCATTTATTGACGCTGAATAATGTGTAGCAGGGAATGTTTAAATAACCACAGACGCCAGAATGATGCAACCACTTATCAACAACTCCGTTGCCTGGACGCGCAAGCCTACACAACACACGCACTCTACCATCAGAACAACAGGCTTGCATCGAGACCCTCGAGGCCCTGACGTACCCTGCAACTTAGAGCCGCCCTGTTCCTGCGGCGGCGTCTAGAACTCTCGCTCCCCGCCGCTCGCCACCGTAAGCGTGGACGCGTTTTTCGAACTACCCCTTTGCTCATAGACGGCGGTACTTGCTAACTTTGCAGAGGTTAAGAGACGTTAAACACAACAAAAACACAGTAAAAATGAGAGGGGAAGGTAATTGTATAAAAGTAGTAACAAGGTGTACAACATAGTAGTCCTTTAATTAATAGGGTATAAAAATATGCATATGAACGTGACGAATGGCAAAGTAATAAATATATAGAACCGTATAAAGTATGTGTAACCAAGGATGACGGAGAGTCCGACCGACACACATAGATCACATAAGTAAGGGGAGTGCAAATAATATAAGTTTAAGTAAGATATAAATAAGACAGCTAACAAGTAAGAAAGGAAATGACGAACAAACGTGGAGGACCAAATCTTCCGTTGACCGTACAGCAACAGAGCAGGACATGTATACCACGTATTCGTTATTTCAACCGTTAAATTAGACCGCCCTTGTTACAGAATCATCCAGCTATAAAACTTAATTGCTAATTGGTGAAACACGTAAGAAATATTTACGTTTGGCCAGTCGGAATTTCAACAAACCCGTAGCGCCCGGTTCTTTTGGCTCCTCCTTCCTTCTCGCTTCGCCGTCAGGTTCGACAGGCTGAAGCACGCCGAAAAACTCCTGGGAAGGTTGCCGACGCAGCCGATTAAAGAGCAGAATGAAAGCTCCGCTTCGGCGTTGCGCAGAGTTTGTTTCGGATCACACGGACGCGGTCCCGGCCTGGACCCTGTTAGTTCCAGTCGGCCTTTAAATAGTGGTCGGATCGGTGTGGTCAAAAAAACCCCCGCAAAACGACCTACCATAGCAGTTATAAATGTCGCAACACGGGCTAACATCCGGAAAATTTAGATGATGGGTTTACTCCCTTGTATACCTGTATTCATGACAATTTTTTTCACACGTATACATAAACCAATTGGATAGGTTGTGATACTTTGTCTGACATGTATTTCTTTATTACATAGTAGAAGAATAATTTAAGATGGATATCAACTAATAGACAAACTCTCGACGTCACAACAAAAACAAGAGACTTTTTGATTTATTAATTGGTAAATCAAATGGATGCGTGGAAGTAAGTTGCTTTTTTCCCAATTGTCCTCGATAGGTAATGAGGCGACAATAAAGGTGTAAACCGTTTCATTAGGTGGGTTTCAGTTAAGGTCAAAATGAAAGGTCCAGTGTGTCGTGGGTGAAACCCAATTAGGTCCTTGCGTGCGGTAAAGTTTTGCGGCAGGAGATAAACTTGGAGAAAGCTAGGAATGGTAAAGGTAGTAGAAGAGTTAAGTTGTAAAACGGGGAGTTATGAATCAGTGTCCGTATGATAGTTCCTAAGAATAATAATCTTAAACCGATAGCGATAAATACGATGGATTGTTGTTTTGTACTACAATAATAACAGACGGTTTACTAAAAATGCTAACGGTCCGAAGTTCGGTGAATAGTTACCGCGTTGGTAATGTAACCAGCTTAATCTTCGACCTGGCCCCAGTGCCGAACTCTGTTGTACTCCTGATCTTTCCTTCAGACCTTACACCTCAGGAAGGTTATTTGTGTGACTAAGTGTTTGCGTGTATTTTCTTCTGGTGTAAATTATTGAACAGAACTGAACCTAAATAAAGCATTCTGTTGTCTAATATTGGTACTACTTAGCTAAAACATTAAGTTTTATGCAGTATTTCTCCCTTGTGATAAATTCATATACTCAATTAGTGTGACTACATCTGGACTGCCATTAGACAGAGACTGTGACTTCGAGCGCGACCTGCAGAGAACGCTGATGTCAGCATCTGGGTAGTACGAAGTTAGACATAGTACAATGACTTAATAAGAAAATCTGCTAAAAACTAAGTGAACTAGAGTAGAACAAATATTTATAACTGTGGCAAGTTTCTATCAAAGTCCTTGGGGATATACATGTGTAGACAATACCAATCAACAGACTAGTACAGTATCCTTCTCGAGCATCGAGTTCGGTTATATCAGAAGGTAGACTTACAACTACAAGGGTGAACGATCGTATGAACATAACGGTACCATCCTCCGGACAGTCTGATGGAGACCGACCACGAAGAGACACAGAGTTTAGGACTACTTCCTGCGTAATAAACGATGTACAAGCCGAGGTCCAACGTGGTGCGGATTTCTAAAATGTACAACAAAGAGTCACCGCCCATGTAATAATTGGTCTTAACCTTCTATTCTACCAGCATGCATCCTATCGTACGCGTCTCGATGTAGACTGACGCATGGCATTAACACAACTGGGTTCTATTACAATAGCATGTGGCTACATACACTTAATCCTAGATAATGTCATTATGATTCAATCCGACATACTTACGTGGCCATGTGATATCCTTCGCTCAAAATGGTTCAGAGGCCACACGTTCTACCCGACACGACTTCAGTTGTACCTGTCATGTCCTTGGTGACGCGATTTTAGTACAACTAGGTTAGCAACTTACGTAGACATACCAGCGCGAGTCGATGCACGTGAATAAAAACACATTTGCCTTGAGGCGGGATACGACTGTTAGTGGAGACTATATGACACGGAACGGGTATGTAGAGATGATTGACTGGGCTGGGTGTGCTGGCAACTGGGCAACTCGACTGTAGCGCTATTCTCGGACAGTAGACTAGGACCCACATGAGACTAGTTTGGACCTGACTGTTGGGCATGCACGCTAAGACTTGTTACGCCGGTACAGTAGTCACATTGACGTACGAGATGTTGTGCTCGACTATAATTGGTCGTACAGACAACCCTGAATGTACACTAGAAACCTCGAGGTTCCCTTTTGCTCTCAACAAGGATTTTTCACGGTATTGTGAATCAGGTGTCCACTGAGCAGACTCATAGAGTGAACTACTATAAACACACGGGCTGTCCTCAACCGCCAAACGTTGACATATTGACTTTGATTTAGACTTCAAGACCAAGAACGGACTTCTGCAGACCTCTCTTTGTGAATAAAAGTGACTTCACAACATCGACACCATTATTAATATGTGCCTAGATTTTACATTTATTACAAGACAATAGGGGACTGTCCAAGCATAAATGGCTATGAAAAACAAGGGGGAGGGGTAATGTCCTAAAAGCACATGTGTACTACAAGTACACATTTTTCCCCCCTCACGACATATTACATATTACAGTTGTACCAACATTTACATTTTAGTATTAAATTTAAAAAAGAAATTACTACTTTTTTGAGGATATTCCTTCACTAAAACATGGTTCAAAGTCCTTTATACCCTTCCGTCTTTCAGGTTTACCTTTCAATCTTGGTAGACTTTTAGTATCAAACTTTAACACTTACTATTGCCTTACCGCGAGTGTATACTTATAAAAACATTCTATTTCCCCTGGGCGGATATCGCTTATGGAGACTTTTCTGAGACGTCTCGTGCGTACGGTTTTCTGAGCTCTGAATTACGGCAACTGGTGACTTTGACTTTGTTGTCACACTGTTTTCGTGACAGCTTACTGACTGGACCCACATGACTGGCTATGACTGGACTGTAATCTTCCAACTGATTACGGCGGATCA